AGCTTAAACAGGAACGCTAACGCCGACAAGTGCCGATCTACAACCGAAGGCTCAAATACCACAACAGACCATCCAATCGTACCTCGGGTGAGTGATGTCTCCCAGCACAAGCCCACGTCTCGTCCCACGCCCTCCATACCTTGACATCCGCCGTCCAGGTACTAGGCGCCAAGGAATCCCCTATCATGCACCCAAGCAGGAGGTCCGAGCTGCCACACGTGTTCGGGCAGACCAGCCCCTCCAACTGTGCTCCAGGGGCTATTGAGCAGAATCTCTCCCACTGCGAACGAGACAACACATCGGCAATAATATTTAGGAACCCAGGCACAAGACGTGCCCTAAAGACAATATTATATTGCATACAGAGGAGTACAAAACGCAGCAACAGGTAAATCACAGGAACTGAGGACACTGATAACTGATTCCCTGCACTCACCACTGACATATTGTCTGTGAAGAAAATAACTTTTTTTCCCCGTAACATCGGAACCCCATAATGCTAATGAAACCACTAAGGGAAATAGTTTCAGAAATGCTAAATTGCGTATGTTAGGATCCGCTTTCCAACATTCCGTCCACGATTCCGCACACCATTGACTGGCGATAAAGGCTCCGAACCCCACGCTCCCCGAAGCATCCGTAAATAGTTCCAATTATTTTTCCGGAAAAAGACCCGGCTGTTAAAATCTCTATGGAAAACAAAAAGTGGTGCAGAGAACTGATCCCACAAGTAGCCTTAGCGAGAAATCTACTAAAAACCCGTCCCACTGGTACAACCCGACAAGCAAAATTCAGACGACCTAATAAGGATTGCAGCGTCCGCAGCGTAACCTTCTCTGCCACCTGCACTTCACGAACAGCCCTCCGAAGCACTGGCAACTTGTCAGCCAGTAGGTGACATTCCTCTGCCACGAATATATCTCCAGACCGAGAAAACTGAGACATGTAGCTGGTCCCATCGTTTTGTCCACTACCAAAAGCACTCCACAAACTTGTGCCACCCATTCCAGCATTTGCAGTACCACCCGACAAGTATCCGACCCGGAAGGCCCAACACACAGAAAATCATCCAGATAGTGAACCAGGGACTTGCTACCTGTTTCTGACCTCACCACCCACTTGAGGTAAGTACTAAATTTTTCTAAATATGCACATGAGATGGTGACAATCCCCCTGGCCCATGTCCCTAACCAACTCAACCGCTTAGTCGAATGATGCATAGGACACTGAGCATAATGCGGTATCGATGTCGTCATTGACTGACGACCCCTTCGGGTACGAAAGGTGATGGATAAGCCGGAACTAACCGGGCTCCTTTTTTGGCACAACTCCCAAGGGAGATAAGCGAAGATTGGGTATGAGGGCCTCTTCAAAGGGGCTGGCCATCTTCGCCAATTGGACCTCTTTACCCAACTTGTCCCTCACAATGTCTGGAAATTCTGCTGCTGATTTCAACTTATGAAAGCACGGAATACAAGCTCGATCCTGAAATGGAATGGAAAACCCATACAAAAACCCTTCCCTCAGCAAGGTAGCATCTTCCTAATTAGCGTAGCATTTTATCCGGGGCAGCATCGCGCCAACCTTCTCCGGCGTTAACCCCAGTGGAAGAAGCTGGCCCTGTGGAACCTCTACCCCCTGATGCCACCTTCCCATGTTTAAAACCTCGGCTGAGACCGTGGGTGCCACCACAGCCGGAGCACTCATGTTTGAAGCTGCACACGTGGACCCGTATGGCTATTGTGCCTGCCGTCCTGACCCTGACTACCATCCAGCCTGTCATCCTGGCATCTGCAGCCGAACATACTGTGCAAGCAATCTCACGCCTCTTCCGTCTGGGAAGCTTCCGCTATCGGTCCTGGAAACACTCACCGTATCACTGTGAGCATGACATGAAGAGAACGGCTGACGACCCCCTAGCCGCTCCCCCAAAGACCTCCTGTCCTCGCTGCGCATGCTGACTGCTGATTGCTGGCAGGGACGCTGGCCCTTCCTAGTCCTGCTCCTCAGAAGGCGAGGACATGATTGGGGCCCCCTCACTCCCAGCCTGTCTGACTCCTCCCGAGATGTGCTGCTCCTGTGGCGACCTCCTAACATGCTAACTAGGGGGCAAGGAGGAAATCCCTACCACTGCTAGGCTGCCCAAATTAAGAGAAGGGGGACCCTCCCAGAGCTGCATCACCAGTCCTGCAGCCCGCCAGGAGGTGCGGTGTGAAAGTCGTGGCAGTCTTGCCTTCCTCCATACAGCGCAGCATCATTCCGTAATGGTTGGCTGCCCTGCCAGCCACCATGCCAGCTTGTCTCCCCCGATCACCGGAACAGGACCTCTCCTCCCTGGCGACCTCCACTCTAGACTGCGGCCCGGCCAACAGGCTTCTCCTCCTCCTGCGCTGAGGAATGGAACTGGGGCTGAAGCGCTGGGTCAACCTAGTCCGCCTCGTGGGCTGGTGCTTCGGCACTCCTGAAGTACTGGAACAGCAGCTCCCAGGCATTCCTGCAGCCAAGACACCACTCTCTCCTGCACAGCAGACCTGACCCTCTCCATGAGAGACTCCATAGTGGCACCCATCTGAAAAAGAAATGAAGAGACACCAAACAAACTTGCTGCACACAAGTAAGTCAAGAGTAGTTAAAATGGCTCCTACACAAAATGTCCATTATTAATGCTCCTATAAGTCCCACCCCCTTGACCTGTCAACCCACGTAAACCTTAACCCCTTGTATGCCTGCCTCCTAGCTATGTCAAGGTCCATTCCACTTAGTTTCACTGCTCCATAGGCTACAAGACTTGATAAATGTAATGACTGTGGTTAAACTGATCTTGCTGGACCCTCTGCTACCTTGATTGATGCTGACACATTCAGAATTATTAACTAAAATGAGAATGAAAAGCAAATTCTAAGTGACTTTAAAGTTTTAAATAATCGAAATGGGAAATCTAAGTCAGCATTGCTTTCAGTTTGGCTATTCTAGCCTTACATATTATATTTACTTTTAGTTGACTTTGAAACATGACTTCTTGAATTGCTGTGTCGAAGGACGACTTTCCAAAGCCCAATTTCAGATGTGTAGGGGATGCACAACAGTAATGAGTCTGTCTGTGTAATTATACACACACATATTGTTTTCCCATTCACTGAAAGGGGAACTTTCCAGGAATTTTTAACCCCTTAAGGACGGAGGCGATTGTGCAAGTCCTGACCAAAAAAAAAGAAAACCTGGAATTTGACTATATGTCTGCTCAACCATAATTTACAGATTTCATATTAAGTGCACCCACACTTATTACACTTAAATTTTATCATTTGTTCAGGAGAAACAGGGATTTCATTCCACATCAAATATCTATATATGGAACACAATTTAATATGAACAATATCTAAAAAAGAAACTGTTGGAAATTATGAAATTTTGTTATTTTGTTAACGTCTGCATGGCTTTTACTGCAATAAAACACACATATTTTTGTTCAGAGGTATCAAAATTACAACACTACCCCCATGTTACAGGGTCAAATATTGTGCTTTTCCACTTTTCATTTTTTGCACATTGAAATTTGCCAGATTGGTTATGTTGCCTCTGAGACCATATGGCAGTCCAGGAATAACCACATCATGGCATACCTTTTGCAAAAGTAGACGACCCAGGGTATTCAAAAAAGGGTATGTCTAGTCTTTTTTAAAACCCACTTAGTAACAAACCCTGGCCAAAGTTAGTGTTCATATTTGGTTTTATTTTACTTTTTTTTTTACACAAAAATTGCACTTTCACTGATGACATCAACATCATTATACATTTTACCATTTTAAAATACACATATTTCTGTTCAGAAATATCTCAAGAATAGTGATTTCCCGAACTGTTCGCCGAACGGTTCGCCCCGAACGGTTCGCCACGGACTCATCATTGAGTAAACTTTGACCCTGTACCTCACAGTCAGCAGACACATTCCAGCCAATCAGCAGCAGACCCTCCCTCCCAGACCCTCCCACCTCCTGGACAGCTCACAAGAATGCAGCTTCACATGGATGCTGTCCAGGAGGTGGGAGGGTGAGGGCTGATCTTCTGTGATGAGGTACAGGGTCAAAGTTTACTCAATGAGTCCGTGGCGAACCGTTCGCGAACCGTTCGGCGAACAGTTCGGGACATCACTACTCAAGAATGAAACAGTACCCACCATGTACAGCTTTTTTGGTGTCTTGGAAAGATACAGGGTCAATATAAAGCTTGCAAATTACATTCTCTCGACTTTCTGCCTTTTTAGTGGTTCAAAACTGCTTTATTAGTAGTTCATAATGTATAACACACATGTGCACTAATAAAGCAGTTTTGAACCCCTAAAAAGACCTAGGAGTGCACCCCATCAAGGTTTTATTATAATCATAGGCTGGAGTTTTGCACCAAGGAGCTGACAGTTCCGGGAGCCCTGAGTGTGAGGCATCTGTGAATTTATACATTAATAATTTCACTCTAAGTGTATTTTGAGATATATATATAGTGTGTATTTAATAATTGTGTAATTGATTCTAACTTATTATGACTTTGGAGATCTTCATGAAAACCCAGTATTGTAAGCTGCCGATCCGAGTCATGTGAACGCAGTATCATCTTGATTACATAGTTACATAGCTGAAAAGAGACTTGCGTCCATCACGTTCAGCCTTCCTCACATATGTTTTTGCTGTTGATCCAAAAGAAGGCAAAAAACCTGGTCTGATGCGCTTCCAATTTTGCAACGAACTAGGAAAAAATTCCTTCTTGACCCCAAAACAGTAGTCAGATGTCTCCTTGGATCAAGCAGCTATTACCCCACTAATTAGAAATTATATCCCTGTATGTTATGCTTTTGCAACTATTTATCCAATTGCAGTTTAAACATCTGTATAGACTCTGACAAAACCACCTCTTCAGGCAGAGAATTCCATATCCTTATTGCTCTTACTGTAAAAAAAACCTTGTCTTTGCCTTAGATGAAATCTCCTTTCTTCCAGCCTAAATGTGTGACCTCGTGTCCTATGTATAGCCCTGTTTATGAATAGATTTCCAGATAAAGGTTTGTACTGGCCCCGAATATATTTGTATAATGTTATCATATCCCCTCTCAGGCACCGTCTTTCCAAACTAAACTGATTTACATTTTTTAATGTTTCTTCATAACTAAAATACTCCATTCCTTTTATTAATTTTGTAGCTTGTCTCTGCACTTTTTCTAGTGCCATGATATCTTTCTTTAGAACAGGTGCCCAAAATCGCACAGCAAATTCAAGGTGTGGTCTTACCAGCGATTTATAAAGAGGCAAAATTATATTTTCATCCAGAGAATTTATGCCCCTATTTATACATGACAAAACCTTACTGGCCTTAGCAACTACATTGCATATTGCTGCCTAATTTGTTGTCTATAACAATTCCCAAATCCTTCTCGTGTTTGGTTATCCCTAATTCACTACCATTTAACCCCGAAGTGCATAACTTTGCATTTCTCTACGTTAAATTCCATCTGACATTTTAGTGCCCAGTCCCCCAATCTATCCAAATCCCTCTGAGCAAAGCAATATCCTGCTCACATTTTATTACTTTACAAAGTTTTGTGTCATCTGCAAACACTGATACATGGCTTTCAATGCCTATTTCAAGATCATTTATAAATATGTTAAATAAAAGCAGTCCCAAAAGAGGGACACCACTTACCACTTTTGTCCAGCCTGAAAATTTACCATTAATGACAACTCGTTGTACTCTATCCTTAAGCCAATGTTCTACCCAACAACAAGAATATTCATCTAGACCAATTTCTTTTAGTTTGAAGACTAACTTATTGTGAGGAACCGTATCAAATGCCTTGGCAAAATCCAAGTAGATCACATCCACTGCAACACCCTGATCTATACTTCTACTTACTTCTTTGTAGAATGCAATTAGTTAAGTTTGACATGACCTATGTTTCATAAAACCATGCTGATTATTGCTAATAACAAAGTTCTTCCCAATGAATTCCTGAATATTATCCCTTAATAGCCCTTCAAATATTTTCCCAGTTACAGAAGTTAAGCTCACAGGTCTATAATTTCCAGGCAAGGATTTTGAACCTATTTTAAATATAGGAACAACATCTGCCTTCCTCCAATCCTACGGTACAATACCTGAAACAAAAGAATCTTGAAAAATTAAATACAGAGGTTCACTTATTTCCCCACTTAGCTCCTTAAGTACTCATGGGTGATTACCATCAGGCCCTGGAGCTTTATTTACATTAATTTTCTTTAATAGCTGTAGCACCTTGTCTCGAGTTATCCAATCACAAGTTATCTGTAAGTTTTGTGCGGCAATCATTTGCATATCTCTTGCCATAGGATCCTCATTAATATATACTGAAGAAAAATAGTTATTTAAAATTTCTGCTTTTCCATGGTCTTCATTAGCTAACAAATCCATCTCTGTTTCCAGTGTACCTACACTTTCATTTTTTGTTTTTTTAGAATTGATGTACTTGAAAACATTTTTGGGGTTGGTTTTGCTTTCTTTGGCTATCAATTTCTCATTTTCTAGTTTAGCAACTTTAATTGCCTTTTTGCAAGCATTATTGGCTTCCTTATATCTTATATAGGATGCCTCTGATTTGTCCGATTTAAATGCTTTAAATGCCCTTTTCTTATTTTTAATCTCTTGTTTTACTTCTCTACTAAGCCTCATTGGTTTTAATTTGTTTCTTTTATATTTATTACTCAATGGTACATACTGAGAAATGTACCTTTCTAATATTTGTTTGAATAGTTTCCATTTATCCTCAGTGTTTTTATCACTAAGGAGTTTATGCCAGTCGATATGTTGTAGAGCTGCCCTAATCTTATTGAAATTGCCTTTTTTTACATTATACGTTTTAGTATACCCCCCCTAGTATAACTTCAGTCCCTACTTGCTATACCGCGAGTAGGGGCGTATCTAGTAAGCAAAACAAAAATTAAAAAGCTATTGGCCCCCACCCCTGAACAGCGGGTGGGGGCCCTAAATAACAATGATGGGGAGGGCCTACTCTCCTCCCCACAGGCCCCCACCCCTGAGCGGCGGGTGGGGGCCCTAAATAACAATGAGGAGGGGCCTACTGTCCTCCCCCCGGCCCCCACCCCTGCGCGGCGGGTGGGGGCCCTACATAACAATGAGGAGGGGACCTACTGTCCTTCCCCCCGACCCCCACCCCTGAGCGGTGGGTGGGGGCCCTAAATAAGAATGAGGTGGAGGGCCTATTGTCCTCCCCCGCAGCCCCCAACTCTGAGCGGCGGGTTGGCGGCCCTAAATATCAATAAGGGGTGGACCTATTGTCCTCCCCCCTGGCCCCCACCCCCCCAAGGTGAGTAGGGGTCCCCATACCCCTAGTCACCCCCCTCCACCCAAAAAAATAACCCCTAAAAATAATGAGGGGGGACCATTAACTAAGTACCTGAAAAAAAAAAACCTTATCATTTGATGTCTTTTTTCTAAAATCTTTTTTCAACCCCATAAAAGGCCAAATAAAAATCCACAATGACCGTCGCAATTAGAAAAAAAAAACAAATCTGCAAAATAATAATAATCCATCTTCACCCATGGAGGGCTCCGCGCAGACTGAGCTCTGCAGGGCGGAAGAAGGCTTATAAAGCCTTGCCCCGCCCTGCAATTAGGATAAGAACACTCTGATTGGTTGGTTTAAGCCAATCAGAGTGCTCTGTTTCATTTTACACAGCATGGGGAAATTCCAAAGAACTTTCCCACGCTGTGCAAAATGACTCATAACACTCTGATTGGTTAGCTTGAAATCCAGCCAATCAGAGTGCTCTATGTCATTTTACACAGCGTGGGAAAGTTCTTTGGAATTTTCCCACGCTGTGTAATTTGACTCATAACTCTCTAACTGGTTACTTTCAATCCACCAATCAGAGTGTTGTTATGAGTCCAACTACACAGCGTGGGAAAATTCCAAAGAACTTTCCCACGCTGTGTAAAATGACACAGAGCACTCTGATTGCTGGATTTCAAGTTAACCAATCAGAGTGCTTACCTGTCAGTTTCTTCATTTACCTGTAAGAGCACTCTGATTGGATGGCTTAAACTAAACCAACCAATCAGAGATCTCTGAGCCTAATTGCAGGGGGAACCAACGATTTATAAGCCTTCCCCCGGCCTGCAGAACTCAGTCTGCGCGGAGCCCTCCATGGGTGAAAATTGATTATTTTTTTTTGGAGCTCGTTTTTTGTGTGTTTTTTTTAAGTCAGTCGATTATTATACACCCCCGATACAAACAAACCATGCTATGATAATACACCCCCTATACAAACACACCATACTATGATAATACAGCCCCTATACAAACACACCCCCTAAACAAACACACTATGTTATGATAATACACCCCCTATAAAAACACCATACTATGATAATACACCCCCCTATACAAACACACCATACTATGATAATACACCCCCTATACAAACACACCATACTATGATAATACACCCCCTATACAAACACACCATGCTATGATAATACACCCCCTATACAAACACACCATACTATGATAATACACACCCTATACAAACACACCATACTATGATAATACACCCCCTATATAAACACACCATACTATGATAATACACCCCCTATACAAACACACCATACTATGATAACACCCCCCCCTATACAAACACACCATACTATGATAATACAGCCCCTATACAAACACACCGTACTATGATAATACACCCCCTATACAAACACACCATGCTATGATAATACACCCCCTATACAAACACACCATGCTATGATAATACACCCCCCCTATACAAACACACCATGCTATGATAATACACACCCTATACAAACACACCATACTATGATAATACACCCCCTATACAAACACACCATACTATGATAATAAACCCCCCTATACAAACACACCATACTATGATAATACACCCCCTATACAAACACACCATACTATGATAATACACCCCCTATATAAACACACCATACTATGATAATACACCCCCTATACAAACACACCATACTATGATAATATACCCCCTATACAAACACACCATACTATGATAATACACCCCCTATACAAACACACCATACTATGATAATACACCCCCTATATAAACACACCATACTATGATAATACACCCCTATACAAACACACCATACTATGATAATACACCCCCTATACAAACACACCATACTATGATAATACACCCCCTATACAAACACACCATACTATGATAATACACGCCCTATACAAACACACCATACTATGATAATACACCCCCTATACAAACACACCATACTATGATAATACACCCCCTATACAAACACACCATACTATGATAATACACCGCCTATACAAACACACCATACTATGATAATACAGCCCCTATACAAACACACCATGCTATGATAATACACCCCCTATACAAACACACCATACTATGATAATACACCGCCTATACAAACACACCATACTATGATAATACACCCCCTATACAAACACACCATACTATGATAATACACCCCCTATACAAACACACCATACTATGATAATACGCCCCCTATACAAACACACCATACTATGATAATACACCCCCTATACAAACACACCATACTATGATAATACACCCCCTATACAAACACACCATACTATGATAATACGCCTCCTATACAAACACACTGTTGCGGAGCTGCAATTTTATAATCCCAGGATCTCTGCTGGTAGAATGCAATAACCAAGTACAAAGCTGGAAGCAGGCAATATTCCCAAATCCTCCCAAGAACCAGACGAAACACAGTCTGAGAGTCAACTGCCACTTTATTCAAAAAGACTGATATTTAAAGCAGGTCACTCAACTGTCACTTGATATTTAAAGCAGGTCACTCAACTGTCACTTTATTAAAAATAACTGATATTTAAAGCAGGTCACTCAACAGGGGTTTCCAAAGATGGGCAGCAGGGGTTTTGGTTGAGGGGACTGGAGGGAGACTACCGTTTCCAGGTCCTCCTCCCAACAGCCCCTGCTGTAACATACAGTAATGAAAACTACGAGGACATAAACCGTTACCTTTCTACTTCAAAATATACAACTTAGTCAGTTTTAATAGCAATGCTAACGAATGGGGAGGATTCGAACAGACATACACAGTACAGCATAAATTAAACATAGCCGGAGACGCCA